CAATTATGGCAAAACACACGAGGGCTGCCTGAAGGGGAAGATGCCTTCGTGGAGGACTTTCTAAGGGAAACTGTCTCGTATACACGTTGCACATGGAGGGAAAACCACGAAAAGCCCATGCAGCCAGCCCGTTCGCGGGATTCGAACTTTGCACCAAACTACCAGTGTTCCGTGTCTTTACCGCTAGCCCGCTGGCCCATCTGTTATAACAGAGAGCGATTTTTATGTTATAGTAAAGACAGTATTCATATACGATATAAATATTGCATATGAAAATGGTTTAAATATATTATCGAATAACTACGATAAGTAAGGGTGTAATTAATTCGTGGTTGTAATGTACAGAAAAATCATAATGATTCTAATTTGCATATATATATTCTGATGCTAATATTTGCTTTTTTAATACATGTACCACAAAAGTTTGTCATATATCAAATTTATATTTTTAAACTAAACAGCCAATATATGACTCATGCTAAGAAACCATTACCGGTGGACCTAGATATTACAGACCTAAGGCTTCAGATACTAGAAGTTCTCGAAAACCTCATAAATAGTGAGGAAAATGCAATGTTTCTCTGCATAAAATTAGGAAACTAATCAAGAAGAATAACTTTCCAATGGTTTGGAATTTCTTTAATGAAACTTCGATTAAAATCGATTTATTGAACGAATTAAATTTAATTGAAATCGTGCGACGAGTAACTCGAATTAAATGAATTCGTGTTGTTAATAATTCATATTAATTTCGAAGTAAATTCTTATTAGCATTAGTGTACGATTTTAAAATTTATTAAAGAAAAATAAATTGTCTTTAGCGCAAAGTGTATTTTAATTTAATGAAATATTTTAATATAAACAAAATGCAGATGTCTTATTGTATAATGCTTGCTGTTTAATAACATGTTTTGTGCTTTCTAGTCGTCCGGTACCGTTATTTAAAGACAGAAGAAATTTTATTTTTAATTAATCTGTGATATGATAAGTAATGATTATACTGAGGTATTTTTCATGCCCTGTGATGCTGCCGCATAATCATAATTAGACTGCATGAATAGGAACTACTATTCCTTTTTTCTAAAAGTCTTAAAATATATCTTACTATAAACTTTCGTTAACTGATTACTTACCAGTAATCGAGTATTTAGTTTTAAACATGATTATGCCAGATCTATGGATCAATGCATAATTTTGAAGTAAATGTCTGCGGGTGCTTATCTGATAATATATGCGGCCAAATTTGAGTGAAATTTATGATATACTTATGTGGTATAATATCCATCACAGATTTTTTAATTAAAAATTTATAACATATGTTATTCAAGCTGACCTTTTTAAATCTATTATGACATTTTAAAACTTGATATTTTTAATGGCATTTTGTAATGCATTTGCTATTTCAACTTGACTCTGTTATTTAGACTTGCTACTTATAAATGTGACATTTGATTACTTTACGTTGTTTGTTTTGTTCCATAATTTTATTAACCTAATAACAGGAATTGTTTGTTTTTGAATAATTTTGAAACAATTTTTAATTAAAAGAATATGCGTTTGCAAGAACTGGCTATGTTCAAATGACATAATTCTAATTACTTCTTTATGTTAGAAATTCTCATTTGCAAAAGAATTAAAACTTTTCAAATCAATAAGTAAATAATATAAGCTCTGGAGAAGTATTAACGTGTTTCAATTCCTACTTAAAAGGAAATTGTTATTTGCCATAAAATTTTAGCATTCCGGAAGTGGACTTACCAGCAACCAAAATGTTCAGCCTTTTGTTTCAAGAATCAGTAATAGTCTGAAGATACACCTACTGAATTTTGCCTTAAAATAAATCAGTCAGATAAAAGAAGAACGTCTTAGATTATAAACATCATCATCACATTCTTTGAAAAATAATATAATTTGAAAGACGGGGAAAAATAAATAAAAAAAAGCACTATTGTTTTTGGAGTAAAAGGGATTTTTTTTTAAAAAAAAAGAAAAGCGAGTGCATAATTATTTGCAAATGAAGTTTCAGAAGTTTGAACTTGAATTATGTCTTTTAGACTATTAATAAATCAAAAAACATCGATTTAAGCTTTCTTAATCTGTAATTATCCATGTCATCTGAATGGAATACTTCTCATGCGGAACGTATTTGTTTCGATCTTTCGTTCTGCTTTTGAGTTTCGTGGTTTTTTTTTTATTATTACTATTTGCTGATTGTTCTATTCTTGACTTGACACTTCAATTCAAGTACATTTAGATTCGTAGTTCATTAGAGCGAATTTAAAACATGGTTGCATTTATGTTTTTACCTATTTAAAATAAGCTTGTTTGCTAATATTTGGAGTTGTTTGTTATAGTTTTGGGAACACATTGTGAAGAAATTATTATGAAAATAAAATGCCGTTATATAGCGAAATGTTGAGGTGGGAAGAAGGCGGTGTTGAAATTGCTGATAAAATACTGTGAAATAAAATATTGTGCAGAATATTACAGTCGAAAGCAACCTAAGACTGAAATATCTCACGACAAATAACATCATATGAATTCATAATTTCAAAATATTTTCCAATACTGTACTTAATTCTTTTAATATTATCGCTGTGGATAACTCATAAAAGGAAAATATATAATCATTTCAAAATATACCGACTTCATTATTTAATTTACTATCTGCCAATCTACATCGTTTCTCCAATATTTTTTTATTTCTTCATTTTTTTTTTTTTTTTTTTTTTTTTGTGTGGTGTGTGTGTGTGTGTGTGTGTGTGTGTGTGTTCAAAACGCATATTTAACAGGGAAATTTTAATAGCAGTTTCATATTAAACTGTGTAAATTCTTGTGCGTAATATACTTTTGGTAGTTAATTAATTATTTTTATTAGTTCTTTAACGTAATGTTCTTAATTAAATAGAATATTGAAAAGAGTATCTTATGATTTTATTAAAAAAACTGACAATAAATTGTTTCTTTTTCTCTCTAAAAGTAAAAAAAACTTAAGGATAGAAATTTCCTGAAAAACAAAATTAAGCTTCATAATGACTAAATGGTGCTTTGAATTATCTTGTAATATGAATTTCTAATTAAAGATTCAAAATATAGCATCTTTTTAGCTTCAAAGAACTTCTTGTTATAATAATACTTCAAATACTCCTCCAAAAATAAATCTATTTTTATATATATTTCTTAGTGTTAATTTTTTTTTTTTTTTTTTTTTTTTTTTTTTTTTTCAAACATGTGTTTGAATTGTCATGTAAATGAGCAACTTTGGTTATGAATAAACATTCTAAAATTAAGTAAATGAAATACGGTATTTGTTAATTCAAATTAAAATAACCGTAACTGCATAGCTCAAATTATTATTTATTTTAGTGTTTCCCAGTGACAGATGATATGAGTTTTAATATTTTTATGGGTCTCGTATTTGCGTTAATGAATATAGTATTTCCAATGTTTTAGCAACTAATTGAGCATTTTGTGTATTTTTATGGTGAGAAAATGTAGCATCATAATTTAAAAAAATTTTATACAAAAAATAAAATGATATACACCTTTTACAATTTTTCTTGTAAAAGATTTCATCATTTTTTTTTTTTCAGTGGAAATTTTTATATACTTCATAATTAAAATAAAGAAATTGAATTAAGTTTATGAAATAAACATCATCTTCAGCTACTAAATCTCTTTCGACTTTCTTTGCATTGATTATAGCAAAACAATATTTCATGCTTAAATAAAGTAAAAATCGTATTGTGTCCTGTTTAACTGGGTTAATTCTATTAACTGGGTTTTGTGTGTAGAGTCATTAGGATTTTTTTTTTTTTTTTTTTTTTTTTTTTTTTTTTTTAAATGCAGAAAAACTGAAGAAATCTGCATCTGCCCTCGCCGGAACTCGAATCCTGGACCTACCGAATACACGTCATATCTGCTACCGTTACACCATGAAACCATGAAAGCATGCTGGATTTACTATTTGCTGATTGATTATTTTGAGAGAAAATTCCTTATATACTCGCCTTTTAAAGGGCGACTGGAGATTAGGGGACACAATCGCCAAGTCCTGGTGGTGACGAATTATTGTCGGGCGCCACTTGTAGAGTCATTAGGGTTTTTTTTTTTAAAGCAGGGAACTGAAGAAATCCACAACTGCCCTCGCCGGTACTCGAACCCTGGATCTCCCGATTACGCGCCGAATGTGCTATCGTTACACCAAAGAAAGAGAGAGAAAATACCTTATATGTGTTTTATGCATTACATTTATGTGTTTTATGCATTACATTTATGTGTTTTATGCATTACATTTATGTGTTTTATGCATTACATTTATTCAACCATATAAAGTATTTCTCCCGCCTTCTTAGTAAAGTCTTCGTGGTGTAGTGTTCAGCACCCTCGAGGCGTATTCGAGAGGCGCATGGTTCGAGTCCCGGCGAAGGCGTTGCTCATTTTTCATCTCTCCTGCTTTCGAAATAACCTAATGTCTCTACAACCATACTTGAGCCAAACAAGCTTACATGAAAAATAATTTTTATAATAAATTAATCTTCCTTTAGAAATTTCTCTTAGAAATTTCAGAATTATCGTATAATAAAATCGTATAATAGACCATTATCGTATAATAAAATGCTGCATTTTGCTTTAGCGTGTTTGTGTTGCGGCAGCAGATATAGGCCTGCGAGAACTGTCTTCTGAGAGTTGCCTTCATTGATAATATTTTAAGGTAAAGTTGTTGGTAAGTAGATTAATCTTAGGAAAAGTCATAAAAGTACCATACAGTCAGCTCAGTTTTTCAAGAGCAGATCGAATTACTACCTTTCATCTTTCTCAGCTAATCGGCCGTTTGTGAGTATGTGTGCGAGTATAGAGTTTGTGAGTATGTGTGCGAGTATAGTTTCTGTTAAGAATTGTGATAGAGTGTAATTAATATTCTGATAACTTTAGAAAAAATGACTGAGATTATTTAGAGATTTTAGACATTATTATTCACACAATTCTTTCATTTGCAGTGTCATCTGCTGATGCTCCTTACTATGGAACTAGAATTGGCAAGTTCAGCACGCATCTTCATGACGTAAGAGGCGAAGTCTATGCGGTAGACGAGAAAACGTTATTCATCAAAGGTTTTACTTACGACGGAAAAGGCCCAGGTAAGATTTCTTTATTCAGCTGAGAATGAAAGTTGTATATTTACATGATGGGTTCATTATCTTCCATTCATCAGGGCTCATTTTAATGATACTATTCTTTCCATGCAATTTTCTAAGTATTTGTTTTAAACAAATTACATTTTAAAATAGTGAAAGTGTTTGTGTGTACTTATAGAGCGGTTATTAATAGTAATATTTTAGATTAATGTTTAGTGATGGCGTACTGATTCCAGAACTTGCCATGCCAAAATTTATGAGAACTTGTGGATCGCTATATATTAAACGGTTAACAAAAATCACGCTCAGCAAAATCTCAGCAAAATATTACTAGATCAATATAAGCAGATTCTGCATTCGTTTAGAGGGGAAAAAATGTTACGAAGACTCTTTGTCCATCAAGATTTAAAAAAAAAAGATTTATGGATTGAATTACAACAACCGATGAAACTTGTATATTATATCTGCATTTATGGATCAATACTACATATTCTTTGCTAATAGATGTGATTACAAAGGGTACATTTGCATCGAAGTGGTTATATTGATTTCTATATTTCCAAATGGTACGGTAAATGGAAAAAAATGTCCAATTTTATCAATGATATGCAATCTGCTAAAACTGAACGAAGTTCCTAAAAAAGGAACTCCCAATTATTCTAAACAACAAAATATTATTCTTCATCTTGACAGTTTTCTGTATTTTATTTACATCACAAAATAATTCCAAGGTATATAATTAGGTAATGTTTTACTCATTACAAAATTCAAATTTAGTCCCACCCGTCTTTTATTAATTTTGCTTACCTTCGGAAAAATAAAATTCACGGAAATCTCACACTGGAAAAATACTTCGCTGAATATGAGCTAAGAAAATCTTCCATGAAGGTCATACAAACAAATGCAGCTGTAGCAGATAACCATAGACAACAATGAGTCATATGTTAAAGATTAAAATAACTAATTACAGGAATATGTCAATTTATGAGAGGAAAATTCCTATGCCTTTTAAATTTTTTATCTGTTTTTTTATATCTGTTTGCTTATTAAATTACTATGTTTATCTTCATGAAGTTCATTCTTTGTCTCTTAATCATTTTGACAAGTAAAGAAAGAAAATAATGTGAATAATACTACAGTAACAAGATTATGCGTAAAAATAGTCTACATTTTTGAGTGATTTAAGTCAATTTCTTAAAGAATCAGTGTGGGCATGCAGAAAACTAACTCATTTTTTACGAATTTAACAATAAAAACTTTTTATTGTAATAGTTTTTTAATATTTTACAATATAAAGTTAATAATTGTTTTCACTTCTTGTTTTTGCTCCTCTAAAGAAGCAGTGAACTGTGAAAATGATAAATAATTTTAACCGAAAAATTTTGCTTTTATTTCCACGAACATTTCCATAAAATATTCGCCATGAAAGCACCTGTCTTAAAGCAAATACTCCCATACGGGTGTACTCCAACTGCGCGAATGAAAATCACCCTCTCGTCATGGTATAGTCCAACTGCGCGAATCCAAACTTCTTCCTCCCGTTGCCTACAGGGTTACAATTTTACTTTTCGAAGCCAATTGTAGCCAAGAGGAAAAATAAAAAATTACATATCACATATCACATCACAAGTAAGAATATAACAAGCAGGCTAATTACTTGAATAACAGTATAAAGGTGAGAGCTAACAAAAGAATAAAGGTATTGGTAAACATTATTACATTACATTACATTTATTATTACAATATTAGAGGATAAAAGGAGTATCACAATAATATCATAAATCAAATAATTGTATAGCATACCAATAATTATATTTTTATACATAAATCAAAAGTAATAGTCAAGTGGTGTCTGAACTAGACTGGGAAAATTTATATAGTTCACTGGCGTGCAAAAAATTATTCCGTATCAAAGTGTGTTAAAGTGTGCTAGAAATATTTTTTTGTAAATTAAAGTAATCATGTAAATATTTGCAGAAATTAATAGATAAATTTTAAAAAAGCTTAGCATAAAATCTATTATAACAGCTATTATATTTATAAATTTATTATAACAATCAATTATAACAAATTATATTATCTATTATAATAACATTACTATGCGTTTGGAACACTGATGTATAAAGTGTAAATAAATTTTAATTATTATGATAACATACATATGAAACATGAATACAATGCAACAATATTTGAAAATGGAATGGATTAAAAGGGAAACTGAAAATCCCAAAATATGAATATAAAGGAGTTCGATTTTTTTGTTAATTATGAAAATTCTGCGAACGCTCATAATTATAAATTTATTAATTAAATGTGCATTAGAAATTAAATGTATGCCAAAGTACATCAGGTAGAGTAACTGGAAAACAGAATAAATATTTAAACGTTTCTAGTATTAAAATATGGAATTTGTCAGAAAGTTAAATAAACTTAAAATAACCATAAATAATAAACCATAAATAGTTAAATAACTTCAATGACTAAAAATGGAAAGCTTAATACGGCAATATATTGCAATAATATTTGTGTGAATTTAGAACGACTTAAGAAATCCAATTTTTAGATTTAATAAAGATAATTGTTTAAATTAAATTAGAACTATTTACCTAAAATGGTAAATTTGATACTTAAAATCATTCTGCTATCTAATATGATTTGTTAATATTTATGTAGACAAGAAACTTATTTAAGGTGTAATACAAATTCGATATTGATAGGTTATTATGTATCAGTTTTGTGTATGTTATTAATCTATGAATTTTATTATTCAAAACTGATATATACACACACATATATATATGTCATGTACCAGCTTTTGTCCGGAATAAATAGATTGGTGAAGAATTATAGACGTAGTCGACGCTCAAAGTATCAGACGATAAGTTTAAAAAACAAGGATCCATTTATTATTATTCAGGAGAAATAGCAGTTACAAAAATCAGATCTCCGGAGTAAATAAAAAAGAACTACTAATAACTTTTTGTATGAAGTTTACTGCATCATTACATTAAAGAAAAGACCCCGGTATTCCTTTGCGAGTCCTTTTATAGCCTCTGGAAAGACGGAGCTTCCAAGAAATGACGTCAGCCTCGTCAGCCATTCCAGTTCACTTTAAATATCTCCAGAACATTCTATAACTGTACGTGTAGAAAAGGCGAGAAAAACAGCTTGACTACGGGGCTGTCTATTTAATTCCACGTACTTTCAAATAAGAGACCGTCATCAGGGACTAAAATCTACAACTTGGAAAGTTTTTAATTCTTACAGAGAATAAAAAAGATCTGGCTCATCATTCTTTTAAGCATCATAAAACTTTAAAAGGTATAAAAGAAATTCATTTTTACTTTAGCACACACCAGATTTTAAATTAGTATTTGTTTTGTATGCACAATTTTTACAATATTGATAAACGAAAATAGACGCTTGCAATCTCAATAAAATGTCCCATTAATAATTGTAGCACCCAATCTTCTTGCTACAGAAAGATGGACAGGAAACGTCGCGCAGTTCGTGGATTAGATAAGAGGGGGGAGGGGATCTTCGATCAAATTTCGCGCAGTTCGTACCCTACCCTCATACTTTTGCCACATTTCCAAACTGATGGATTTATTACTTCAAGACACAAAAGGCTCAAAAGCACATACTTTAAAAATCATTTATTAATTTTTTTCATTACGTTAAATATTTTTGCTAATTTTTTCCCAGGATAACTTTGTATAAGCTTATTTTTATTAATTAAAGAGCTTTGTGAAGTTAAAATACTTTTCATTTATTTATTGTTTTCATGTTTTCTGTTTTCCTTTTAAGCCTACGTTCGAATTATTTTATGTTATCTTATTAATGATATTTTATGCTTTCTTCATATCTGCGTAAATGTCGATTAAGGCATGAATATTTGTAGCTCTCTGGATCGCTTAAAACGCAAAACTTCCAACTTAACTATGTCTGAAACATCAAAATGAAATATCAGGCAACAAACGAAAGAAAATTAAAAATTTAAACCTTATTATTACAAAAAGAATATGAATTTTGTTTCAGAAATTTTTAATTGAAACTAATGAGCGTAACTTATGGCAGTAAGTATATAACAAGATTTATGAGATTTTTTTCATGATTCATTAGATTAGGCCGAATAAACCAATTTAGATTTTCAATTTTATTCAGAATATAGTGGACTGGGGGGAACGCTTCAAACCATTTGCGGATAAAGACCTTTTTGCAAATGTATCTACCGATGATCTGAGGTATTTTTTAAATAAAGGTATAAATATTGTCGAAGATTAAATTCTGAAATCATATTTTGGGTAAGTTATTAAATTGAAAATTTTAATTAAATTTTAAGAAGAAATTAAGCATGTATCTCATTTTTGTACATAAAAAAGAAACAAAATTTATTTAGTAATGCTTATCTGCAAAGTTTAGTTTCATCTTGAATAAATAGGGAAACAAAAAAAAAAAACAAAAAATCATATAATAACATAGCTGAAAATATTGCTTTCTTTATAACGGAAAAAAAAAACCCTTAATGAAAATATATGTAAAGCATATATTTTTCACGTGATTTAGCATAATAAATATTCATCTTAATTGCCTAAAGAGTTTTCAAATTGAATTACTAATGTAAGATGATTTTCATTAATAATCTTTTATATCAATTACTACTTTTTTTTTTAATCAATCTCAGCTTAATCTGAAAAACAGAATAATACAATCAGACTTAAGTAAAAAAGGAATTAGGCATTGTATTTTTGCTTACGTCACCTGTTTTAGCGTAACATGAACTTCATCAAAATATAACTTCTTTTTATCAATGCAATTAACCAAATAGTAGAAGCACAATTCACATCAAAATTAATGATCTTGAACAAGGGTGGGAAAGCTGCGGCCTTATAGTGCACAAGATCCGGCCTTTTACCTAGTTTTGTGAAAGGTAAAAATCTACATTTTGTTTCACGTCAAAAATCAAAATAATTTGGCATACTAATATGAAATAAAAAAATGTT